GGTAGCAGACCAACATAGATTTATAATATGAAATAAAATATTCACAGAGGCAGAATTGGAAGAACTGCAAAGGCATACCCCAGGCAAAGAAACCAAAACCTTGCCAGAAGTAGTTCAGACTGTAAAGGCAAATTGGGGGGGCGGGGGGAAGAGGGGGGAGAATCCAACAAAGATACATAATTGTTTTCATTTGGAAACCAGGCACCTTCTCCTCTGCCTCAAAAAGAACAAAGTCCTTTAAAGTAGAAATAGAAGAATTGAGACAATATACAATAACAACAATAACTGAGCATCTAGAACAGCAAAAATAAATAAATAAAATCAGGTTTTCTATATTGAAACTTGGAAACAACTAGCACAAGCATAAAAAGATGCCAGTAATGCAATATCAAATTTAAGCACCAGTTCACTGCAAGAAACAAACCAACGAATGTATAGCACAGCTGCAGTTACAACTGAATATCTGGGATGCAAAATCAACCGAGAAAATAAAAAGTCAAACAGTGCACTATCAAAATGGAAGATCAGGTTGGAAAATAAAATCAGCAAGTTGACATCAGATGCAAGCAAGCAAAAATAGATGAAAGAAAAGAATCTGAAGAATAAGATGATCAAAGAATACCTAACCAAGAAACACCACTTAGAAACAAGGAAGATCAAGGAAGCATTGGAAATAATAAAACAGCAAATAACAGCTATAACCAAGAAAATCAGCAGATACAACATTCGAATTGCAAATTATAGGCTGAATATCCAATTTCATTCTAATTAGAAATGTTTCTACCAATCCATCAATGGAAAGACTTCAGTAAATCAGTCAGTACCTAACAAGGAAGAAAAAGTACACTTTTGCGCACAGATATGGGATACCCCAAAGAAATATAACAAGAATTTGAAACCTTAGTTTTCCCTACATTGAATTTCATTTTGTTAGATAGGGCCCAGGGCCCTTCTGGATCTTGAGCCTATATTTTGAGGTATTGGGTATTCCTGCCAGCTTGGTGTCATCTGCAAATTTGATGAGTTCCCCTTCTATCTCCTCATCTCAGTCATTGATGAAGATATTGAAGAGTTCTGGGCCTAAGAAAGAGTCTAGGGTACCCCACTGCATACTTCCCTCCATGAAGATGCAGTATCATTAAGGACTACTCATTTATTGTGGTTGGTTAGCCAGTTACAAATCCAACTGGTGGTAATGCTGTCTAACCCACATTTTTCTATCTTATCAAGTAGGTTGTGGTCAACTTTATCAAATGCCTTACTGAAGTCCAAGTAAATTATATCCACAGCATTTCTCTGGTCCACTAATTTTGTAACTTTCTCAAATAATGAAATAAGATTTGTCTGGTGTGCTAGCTGATGGAGTCCAACAGCATCTAATGAAAATAAGCTCTTTCCACCCAAGCAGAAAGGAAACTGCCCAAACAGCAGAGGAACAAAAGATCAGCATTTAATTGACAAGATAATTCTGAAAAACAGCAAGAGAAGGAAGACCAAGCTGAATGTACAGTAGCATGAATTGATCACAGGAAGGCATTTGACTCCCTGTCACATATAATTGAATAATCAAGTGCCTAGAAATAACAGGAATCAGTAGAAACATCAGAAGCTTTTGCAAAGATCCATGGCACAATGGAAGACATGGTTGTTGGTCAATGGTGATAGAATGGGAGAGGTTAACATCAAGAGAGGAATCTTTCAAGGAGACTTACTGTCACTACTACTGTCACTAATGATGCTACTGTCATTGCACTGATTCCTTTGTCAGCAATTCTGAATAACTCAGGCCCTGGCTATCAAATATCCAAAACTCCCGCCAGGCTATCCCAACTCCTTTACATGGACTATTTTGAACTATTTAGAAAAACACCATCTGAAATATTGTAGAATCATTGTTCAACATTGTCCATATATACAACCAAGATAATTAGAATAGAATAATAGAATAGAATAGAATAGAATAGAATAGAATAGAATAGAATAGAATAGAATAGAATAGAATAGGCTGGAAGGGAGGTCTTCTAATCCAGCCGCCCCCCCTTCAAGTAGGAGAACCTCTACTATTTCAGATAAGTGACTATTCTAGTCTCTTCTTAAAAGCCTCCAGTGATGGAGCCCACAGGATGTCTGAAGGCAAGCTCTTCCACTGGTTAATTGTCCTCACTGTGAGGAAGTTTCTCCTTAATTCCAGGTTGCTTCTCTCTTTGGTTAGTTTCCTACCATTGTTTCTTGTCCTGCCCTCTGGTGCTTTGGAGAAGAGGTTGACCCCCTCTTCTTTGTGGCAGCCCCTCAAGTCCTGGAATACTGCTATCATGTCACCCCTAATTCTTATTTTCTTCTAATAAAGAAGATGCGTTGAAGCTAATAATACCAGAAAGGCAGATTGAGTACTGGAGAGACCAAACTTGCCTACAAGAAAGATCAAATGAAGAAGAGAAAGGAGGCATGGGAACACAGTATATTTTTTTAAAAAGCAGGGAAAATAGATAAAAGCAGAACTTGCCAATGGCCTAGGAGCAGGAAAGTTAAAGAAAGAGACAGAGGGCTAATTCTGGCTGCACAAGACCAAGCCTTAAGAACAAATGCATACAAAGCCAGAATTGAGAAGACAGCAACAGATAGCAAATGCTGTCTGTGCAAAGAAACTGAAGAAACATTAGACTGGGGCGTCAAACTCGTGGCCCATGGGCCAGATGCCACAAAGTAGCAACAGTAGTGCCCTGGAAGTTCTGTAAGAAATTTGCTTGAAGCAAGAACTGGTGGGACCATAAAACAGAGGAAGTCATAGAAAATGAAGAGACTAAATTGCTCTAGGAGATTAGAGTTCAAACAAGTGACAGGCACTTGTCATATAACTCAGACTTAACAATTGTCCAACAATTTATATTCTTAACTGCATCATGTAATCTATCTATCATTCACTGCAACTTATTTGGGTTAAATGAGTTTTGCCTCATTTTACAAGTGTTCTTGCCACAGTTGTTAAGTGATTCACTGTAGTTGTTAAGTTAATAACACGGCTGCTAAGTGAATTTGGCTTCCCCGTTGTCTCATCAGAAATTTGCAAAAGGTGATCATATGATCCCAGGACAGTACAATCATAATAAATATGAGTCAGTTACCAAGCATCTGAATTTTGTTCATATGACAATGAGGATGCTGTAACAGTCATAAGTGTGAAAAAAGGTCATAAGCCACTTTTTTCAGTGGTGAAAAAAGTGGCTTATGACCTTTTTTCAGTCTGTAAAGTCACTAAATGAACTGTTGCAAGTCAAGGACTACCTGTATTGAAGTACCCAATAAACACTCCATTTACTCTTATTTCCTGTCATATATTTTTAAAGGCTGAAGTGCAACAATATCATCTGCACATTTCCTACCTGGCATAAAGCCACACTACACTTCCAAGATTTTGCTCTTTCGCAGTTTAAAAATCAAAAAAATAAACAAACTCTATTCTCAAAGCCTCAGATCTCCAAGGGGCCATTTCAATTGCTTTACATGGCTACTTTTAATGATAATTCCAGGGAAAGTAACCAGTAACACTATCTTCTTTTCAGGCTAAAGGAAGTTTGTTTCTGACATTTACCACCCAGAATTACGTTATAGGGGAGATGGGCAGTATAAAAAATTTATGAATAACTGAATTCTCAAAAGCATATAGCAAAACAATTCAACTAGACAAAAGCAGTTAGACAACACCTCTGATCCAAAGGGTGGGGGGGAATGCACAATGTATGTAGATTTCAAACACTTGGGGAACCAAAGTTCATGAAGTATGCATCATGTTTCAGATGTCCCCATTATACAGAAGTGGTGAGTCAATTGAAACAGACATAACACTAAACAAAAACGTCAATGCTAATGTATTACAAAATCAAACTTTCTAGACAACTTAGATACAAGGACTAACCCACCTTCAAGTTCTTCATGGTCTATACACATATATTAAATAAATAAAAGTTAAATATTACATTTTTCTAATATTTATAAATTAGGTTAGTGTTAAAATTAGCAAAGATTTGATGAAAATATATGCATATTTCAACCAAATGCATTATATGAAGCTTCCTGGAATAATTAGCAAAGAATTAACAATCTAGGATTTAATTTGTGCACAGACAGAAAAAAATAATTAAGGTGTGTTGAACAAGGTTTCAAAATAACATGATTATTACTTTTGACATGAGAATCAAATAATCCAGGTAGGTAGCAACCTACACATTTCACCTGCCACAAAAGACCATTTCAGGTTGTGAGAAGTTTTATTTCCAAATATATATTATTCTTTATACTGTTTCCATCTTCCCTTGAAATATTATCAGAATCCACAATGGTTTGAGAATCAGTGTCTCTGTTAATCAAACTAGCAAACTTCCTCAAACCCTGACATAAGTTACCCAGACTTAATCCACATATAAAAGGATAAGGTCTGCAAACATTAACTCATGTTAATGTTCTCCCAGAGGAACATTAATCTCCCAGAGGAACTGCATGTTCACAAGAATAAACATACCTACACACACACACACACACACATACACACACCCCTCAAGTGAATCATCATAGGTGTAGATACTTCTACACCTCAGACAAAGTCCTTCTTCAAAAATCTGCTACTGTACCCCATTTCTCTGCAGCTGTCCCTAAAGGCAAACTGTTTGCTTTTAGGAATGCACCAGTTAAATATCCAGGATAGCTACCTCTCACAATTAATATGAATATCCAAATCATTTGATTTTGCAAATGTCAAACACTATTTTAGTGTTTTATTTTATTTTAGAAAGAACACTGAGTAACAAAGAGGTTCAGTACTTAAAAAGGTACCCAGCCACAACTCCATTTGCTCTGGTATTTAAAACAATGAATTGTAGGGCAAAATATTACTTACATAAACTATATTTTCTATATTTCTTGTACTACTCAAGAAAAAGCAATGCAAAAAAGGGATTTTTTTTTAAAAGTATTTCAATTATAGTTATGAAAACAGATTGTAAAAATTATTGAAGAAACCATACCTTATCTATTATTTTGGAAATTAAATTCTTTTCTACAGTTCCTGTGAAAAGTGCATTGGATTTTTCACCACTAAGCATGTTGCCTGCAACTTGAACATTGGGTGTCAGAACAGTAAATTCATTCTTCTTGGATTCTGAGGAGAGACAAAGCTGGTAGGAATAAGGCAGAGTCCCATCTTCAAAATTGGGCGGAAATATAACCCCAGCTGTGGAATGGGAAACAGGAGCAAAACATGGTAAGAAACTGGAATTTCCTGACTGCCGCAGTTTGATGGCAAAGGCTAGAATCACTGACAAGAGGAATAAAAATGACATCACTGCTAAGGCCACTACCAAATAGAACTGCAAGTCGGACTGATCCTCTGAGCTGTTCATCTGGTTTTTCATCTCTGGAAGGGCCTCCTGGAAGTTCTCAGCAAACACCAGGTTCAGAGTAACAGAGGCCGAGAGAGTCGGTTGTCCATTATCCTTCACCAGAAGGACCAGTCTCTGTTTCACAGCATCTCTCTCCATAAAAGTTCTTGCTGTCCTGATCTCACCCGTATGGGAGCCAACAGTGAAGAGGGCCGGTTCTGTGGCTTGAATCAGCTGGTAGGAGAGCCAGGCGTTGTGTCCAGAATCAGCATCCACAGCCACCACCTTTGTTACCAGATAATCTGCCTCGGCTGAACGAGGGACCATCTCAAAGAGGGCAGAGTCCTTGGAGTCTGGTGAAGGGGACAGGATCTGGGGACTGTTGTCATTCCGATCCAGGATAAACACGTTGACTGTGACGTTGCTGCTGAGAGAGGGACTCCCGCCATCTTGGGCCCTCACCTGCAGCTGGAATTCCCTGAACTGCTCATAGTCAAAGGATCGCTGGGCGTAGATGATGCCGGTCTCAGAATGAATGGAGATATAGGAGGAGATGGGAAGTTCTTCAATGTTGCTGGTGAGGATTAAATATGTGATGTGTGAGTTTTGATCCAGATCCGGATCAAAGGCTTGAATCTGGAAGATGGAGGCCCCAGAAGGATTGTTCTCTGGCACGTAGATGCTGTAGGAAGCTTTCTCAAAAGCAGGAGCATTGTCATTGATATCAGAGATCTGCAGCATGATGGTTTTGTTTGCACTCAGTGGAGGAGTTCCTTTGTCAATGGCTGTGATTGTAATATTATACTGAGATGCTTTCTCTCTATCTAGAGGTTTATCTGTCATGAGCTTGTAGTAATTTTTAGAAGATGGAAGAATCTTGAATGGCAAATCACTTTGCAAGTAGCAAATAACCTTTCCATTATCACCAATGTCTCTGTCTTTAACATTTATAAGAGCAATTAAGTTTCCAGAATCAGAGTCTTCAGGAATTGGGTTAAACATAGAAGCTAACTGTATTTCTGGAATGTTGTCATTGTCATCTGAAATTTTTATTTCAATATTGCAATGGGTCACCAATCCACCTCCATCCTTTGCTGCAAATGATATTGTATACTCTTCTGTTTCTTCAAAGTCCAGCAACTCTGCGAGATAAATTGTCCCTTTAATTGAATCCAATCTGAATTTTTGTTCAGCAGTAGGTGATAAATTGGTGAAATGATATGTGATTTGGGCATTTGTCCCTTCATCTTTATCAGAGGCTTCCACCTGAAGCACAAGGGATCCAACCGGAACACTTTCTTTCAAATTAACTGTATATGTATCTTGAGTGAAAATGGGTGGGTTGTCATTGGCATCAGTGACATTAATCCATATATGGGCAGTCCCAGTTTTCCTTGGTTCACCCCCATCCAGGGCGGTAAGGATCAAGTGAAAGCTCTGTTCACTTTCCCGATCGAGGGGTTTCTGCAGCACCAGTTCTGCATATTTAAGTCCATCTTTTCTCTCTCTAACTTCCAGGGAGAAGTATTGATTTGGACTCAGTATGTAATTCTGGACAGAATTGAGGCCAACATCTGGATCTTCTGCTTTTCCAATGAGAAACCTTGTACCTGGCAAAGTTAATTCACTTGTCTCCAAATGGATATTGTCTTTGAGGAATTTGGGTGCATTATCATTAATATCCTGGATTGTCACTGATATATGGAAAACATTTCGAGGGTTTTCCATCACAGCTTCTAAGTTAACAAGACACGGAACGCTTTTCCCACAGATTCCTTCTCTATCTATCCTGTCATTTACATAAAGATTTCCATTGTCTGCATTGATCATCAAAAACTGCATTTTATCCAAAGATACAGAATGTAATTTATGGTATTTTAATTCTTTTTCTTTTAATCCCAATTCCTTGGCAAGATTTCCTACTATGGAACCCTTCGACATCTCCTCAGGTATGGAATAATGAATTTGTTCTGCAATAGTGTGGTGGATGGATGACAAAATCAGGAGAAGCAGTACTTGCCTTGAGAGCGCCCTATGATTCCTTCTGTGCCTTCTCTCCATCACTCTTTTCCGCATGGGGCCGTTTCTTTTTCCCAGCTTCTTATGTTCTGACCAAATTCTTTTGGGTTTGAAAGAAATATCAGTAGAAATAGTAATTGCCTTTTCCCTAAATTTATAAAGACCACCCTTTGCAGCAGTGTGGTCTTTTGCTTTTCACCTTCTTCTATCTTACACAGAAGTAATGGGAGCTCCTCAAGTTAGGAGGCCTCCTTTCAATCTCTATGCTCTCCCAGGCTATCAGCTTGGGCAACAGCAGCACTCTGAGGCTCAGACAGAGAATTGCAGAAAAGTCTTTTCCTCCATAGAAAACAGAAAGAGGGACCTGGTTGTTCAGAGTTAGTGTGTATATGAGGAAAATATTGTTTTTCTCTTTTTGAACAATAGTATGAAAATAATTGCTGCAATACCAATCAGATTTTATGTCCAAATTCTCACATAGTAAGATAATATTAATTTCCAGTTCTATTAAATTTTTCTTAATTTGTTACAGTACCCCATTAAGATACCTTTTTATTAAAATGGAGTGGTGGTGTTATATTCTGAAATGGCCAGACATATTTCTTGTCATAAATACCAGACTGTTATAAGCATCTCCCAAATGTACTACATATAATTATTGAACTAATAATCAGTTATCCACCTGAATGATAATAATAGTAATAATTCAGATTTAAGGGGTCAATGTTACTGTAAAATTGTGGTTCTTTCCTAACATTTCCAACCAATGTACATTTTCCCACTCTTAAAGGAAAGGATTAGTTAATCTTCATGGTAATCACTTGCCTAATTTTTGCAGGCATTCATATAACATTCACACATGTGTATATATACATATGTTCTTTTAGAGTTTCTATGCAGAATATAAATATGCATATAAGCAAATATTCTTATGCATAATAAAATGAAATGGAACCAAAAATAATACATATAAGCTGCTTAAAGCTTAAAGCTGAGATACTCTTCCCATTGTGATATCTAAGCAGCATTAAACATTCTTGCAGATTAGATGACACTTTTTTTCAGGAGACTAGCTTACTGTAATTGTGCCATCCAGACACAGTTCTGCAACACCTAAAACTTTAAAGAAAAATTATTACTTTTATACCTTGAAGAATACTTTTAAGAAAAAGTAAAAATATTCAAATGGGCTTTGTAGCATACCTAGTCATAGTTGGAGAAGTAATACAGTTCTTATAAAATTATCTATCAATTGGGTAAAAATGAAATGTTGGTCAAAATTATGTACCAAATTGACATAAACCCTATCAACATATCCAAATATAATAATACAAAAGTACATCTGTTTTCTTTGAGATGAAATTGTAAAAAAGGGATGGGACTATTCAGTGTCAAATAACATCCTTAGCATTCTTGAATTTTAAGCATATTGTATATATAATCATGACCACACCTGGAATATTGCAACCAATTTTGGTCACCATAGTACAAAAAAGATGTTGAGACTTTGGAAAAAGTTCAGAGAAGAGCAACTAACATGATCAAAGGCCTGGAGACTAAAACATATGAAGAACAGCTGCAGGATTTGGGTTTGGCTAGTTTAAAGAAAAGAAGAATTAGAGGTGACATGATAGCAGTATTCCAGTACTTGAGGCGCTGCCACAAAGAAGTGGGGGGGGTTTGAAATTATTCTAAAAAGCACCAGAGGGCAGGCCAAGAAACAATGGTTCAAAACTAATCAAAGAGAGAAGCAACCTGGAATTAAGGAGAACCTTCCTAACAGTGAGGACAATTAACCAGTGGAAGAGCTTTCCTTCAGAAATCATGCGTGCTCCATCACCGGAGATTTTTCAGAAGAGACTGGACAGTCACTTATCTGAAATAGTGTAGGTTCTCCTGCTTGAACAGGGAGCTGGACTGGAAGACCTCCAAGGTCCTTTCCAGATTCTATTCTTTTCTATGTGAGGTAGATCAATATTCACAGAAGAAAACAAATGGCAATATTAAATAAATTATCATATTATATGTTGACGGGTTTTTTAGCTTCATCTCCTGCATCTGTTTGTCCTTTGTAAAAAATAAATGCTGGATTATGATCAGCAGGTTTCTTCTTATATTCACATTATCTGAACATATTATGAAATAGATCATAGTGGAAACTGTAAGCAACTTAACAATGCAGTGATTTTTTTTAAAGATCAGAATAGATTTATCAAAATAACCCTTGTTTTTGATAAATCTCATTTCCAGAGATGATTGTGGGAATGCTGTGGACTCAATCATTTCAACAACACATTTGATAAAGCATGATATTCTCATCAACAAACTAATTGGAATAATTATTAAGTACATCCACAGATGAGGATCTGTTTGATGGGTGTAATGATTAAGGCACTAGGTTAGAAATCAGGAGACTGTCTTATCCTGCCTTAGGCAAAACGCTCAGCTGGATGACCTGGCTAGTCATTCTCTCTCAGCTCTAAAAAGAAGGCAATGGTAAACTACTTCTGATATCTTACAAAGAAAACTACATACACATGTTTAGACAGTTACTAGGAGTCAGGTTTGACTTGGAGGCACAAGTAATAAAAAGTTTTCAGTTTAAAAAGCATATTTCCAGTCATATTTCCATAGATACTTAATTAGAGATTCATTATTAACCAATTGGAAAAAAGTACAGAAAAAACACTATTTAAAAATACCGATCTGGTTATCGACAATGGAGGCAATGATTCACCCAAATAACCTGGACATTACTAAAATGATCAAATATAAAGATTTATTAGATGCACAAGGAAAATTGAAAACATGACAAGAACTACAAGAGCGGGGTTTTAAAATAGATCAGTGGGTATACCTCCAAATTCACAGTAGATATAAATAAGATAAAAAAGATTTTGGAATTAATAACAAACTTCAGTACTTAGATAAAATTTTATTAGGATCAAACAAAAAAAATATAACTAAATTTTACAATTACTTACTGGAAGTAGAATTAGAAGAAGAGACAGTCAAAGGAAATATGATAGCTTGGAGCAGGAATGTCGGACGGAGTATTACATTAACAGAATGGGAAAAGATTTGGAACAGAAACAATAAGATCACTAAATCGGCAGCTTATAAAGAAAACACTTACAAAATGTTTTACAGATGGCACCTTCCTCCTTCGAGGTTAGCGAAGATGCACCCCAACACAAATGTTGGAAATGTAAAAGTATAGATGGAACCTTTTTTCATATGTGGTGGTCATGTAAGGAAACTCAGAAATATTGGCAAAGAGTTAGAAAATGGCTAGAGGAGATAACCAAAGAGCAAACTGAATATAAACCAGAGTCCTTCCTGTTAGGGATTTTTGACAAACAGTTACCAAAAAAAATGAAGTATATAACAATACATATCTTAACAACGGCCAGGCTAACGTTTGCTCAGAGCTGGAAACTACCTCACATACCTACAGAACAGATGATCATCCAGAAAATCTCAGACTGTGCAGAAATGGACAAACTAACCCTAGCCCTAAAAAATAAAGATTCATCAATATATTATAACAATTGGAATTCCTGGTATAAATGGTTAGACCAAAGATAGATCGTGTATCATAAGGTAAAAAAAAAAGAATGGGATAAACTTATATGAGTGTAATCTAAATATAGATATGGATAAGATGTGCATATATGATGCAATTTAAGAAGAGAAAAGATCTTACAAACTGTCGAAAATGAGAATGTTTTTAAGTGCTCACACTTTCTTCTTTCTTTTTCTTTCTTTTTCTTTTCTTTTCATGTTTCTTTCTTTCTTGCTCTTTTCTAGTTTTTCTATTTGTGTATGTGTTGTAGATTTGTTTTTTTAATTGTAAAATTAATAAAATTTGTTTAAAAAAAAAGAAGGCACAAGTAATAAAAAGTTTTCAGTTTAAAAAGCATACGGAAAAAGCACTTATGAAAATAGAGATATCCTCACAAATAATTTGTATAACTAAATGAGGAAAATGCTTCTCTAATATGAGAGGGGTAGTTGATAGCATAGCAACACAATCTTGAACAGTTAGAACAAAGTTTGATGTAACAGACATGTTCAATATTTTTGTAAGGAAAATATCCTTTAGTACCAAAGGGACTTTTCTTCTTAATGAAAATGTTTCTTTCTAGAAATACAGTTCTTTTTCTAGAATCAAATCTCATTACAACAGAACTTGAAGAAAAAAATCTTATTCCATCAATCATGATAAAGTATGAAGTTGGAACAGTGCTAAAAGTTATTGTCCTATGACCATATATTAGATATTTTATTTATGTATGCATTCCAAGCTGCAAAAACACAAGAAAAAAATTAAATAATACAAGATAGAAATGAAGTAAAAGTCACTACAACCAGACAAAAAAAAATAGGCAGAGACTTAAAAAAGCTAAGTTATTCCTGAATTATAAGGGGATTTCAGGAAATCGGTTGGCCATTGTACAATGACAGAAACAGAGCCAGGCAGGTAACTATTATTGTTTGTGAAACCCTCCAATATCTTTCTCCAATAAAAAAGACAATCATTGGCAATTGCATGGCATCCCAATGAAGAACCCTGAACCGGGGGCTTCCGGTTCCGGTCGCAGCGGTATCAGCGGCAGGAATTGCGGCTCTGCAATCCTGCACCGAGTACTCCTGTCAGAGGGCTCCTAACGGGGCCAAAGCCTCCCTGGAGGGGAGGCAAAGGAAAGACGGATGCTCAGGGGGTCGTGGAGAGCAGCAACTCTCCTGCTTGACCTGGAGAAAACTCTCTAAACCCGAAAGCATGGAGCAGTGGCAGCCATCATGGCCATCACCCAGCTGAGGCAACTGAAACAACAAAGGCAGAGCAGGAGCGAGTAGAGGAACAGTGTGTGACTGTGTGAGATTAAGCTTGATTTTTACTAAAAGTTATCCCCAACGTGACGATCTTAGGAAAAAAAGGACGTTCAAAAGAGTAATTTTCATGGCTAACTGGCACTTTGAACTAATGATTCAGCCCTGGAAAAAAATTGGAGTAAGGAAGAAATAAGAGGTTTTACTCTGAAAGCATTGAATTTTGGATTTTAGATTAGCTTTAAAGACTGGAACTGGTTATTGGACAATCCAAATGTATGAGCTGGACCTGGCTTAACTAAATAATTGACTTGGTTTTGAAATAAATAGATTTTGATTGTAAGTAATAGCTGCTGGAAAAAAAGGCAGCATGGAAATTTGAGAGGAGAGCGCCATTGACAATTGGAAGACAAACTATACCCCTATTACACTGGACTTCTTTGGATCTGGATAGAGATTTTTTATTGTAGAATGGTTATCATCACTATAACTAGAGTTGAAGGAACAGCTGTAGAAATTAGTGGACTTTTTCAAGAGGTGACCTTGATCTTCAAAAGTATTAAAGTCTTAATGGATGGCATGGATGAGAAAATGGAAAATATCTTACAAAGAACAATAAGTAAAAATCAAACTGTCCTTGAAATGGTGGAAATAATACTTTAGCTTAGTTCAGTTTAGTTTACTTTATTATTATTGCACCTCGTACAACAAAATCAAACACCATCTTCAGTGCACATCATGACCATGACCTGAAAATAAACCCAAACACACATCCTTCACCCTTCACACATTGAATCGGAAACCCCTGACACCACACCAACACTGCGCTAAACAGCAGAATTCAAAAGAGCTACTGCCCTGGGATAGAAGCTGTTTTTCAGCCTATTTGTCCTTGTTTGTATTATTCTGTACTGTCTGCCAGATGGTAATAGTTCAAAAAACAGGGTTCCCAGGATGAGATGGATCTTTGAGAATGTTTTGAACTTTATTAAGGCAGTGAGAGCTATAAAGCTCTTCCAAAGAGGGGAGAGGGCAACCAATGATCTTCTGGGCAATGACATTAACCCTGTGGAGTGCTTTCCTATCTGCCACTGTGCAATTGGCAAGCCATACAGAGGTGCAGTATGTTAAAATGCTCTCTATGGTGCAGCGGTAAAAGGTCACCAGCAGTTTTTCATTCAGTTGTTGTTTTCTGAGAAGTCTCAGTTAATATAATCTCTGCTGGGCCCTTTTGACCAGTGCTGCAATAGAAATAGAAAGACAAGATGAAAAAAACCAGCAAACTGAATATGAACAAGGAACAAATATGGTTCAGAAAAATGAGT